GGTCCGCCACGGGCTCCGGCTCCGCCACGGGCTCCGCCACGGGCTCCGCCACGGGCTCCGGCGCCGCCGCGGGCTCCGGCTCCGCCGCGGGCTCCGGCGCGGGCTCCGCGGCCTCGAGCGTCGCGCGCTCCTCCGCCTCGTGGGCCCTCGTCGTCTCCGTCTTGCCCGACTCGAGGAGGATGGGCTTGGTGCGCGCGAAGTCGAAGTCGTCGGACTTCTTCGCCGTCGCCTCGAAGGACGACACGCGGCGCGACACCTTGGACGCGGCGAAGGGCGGCGTCCGCGCGGGCCCCGCGGCGGGCGCGACGGGCGGCGGCGGGTCCGCGGCGTCCGCGGTGGGCGTGCCCGGCTTGTCGAAGAGCTTCCGCGACGGCGACGCCGCGGGCGACTGCTTCTTGCGGAAAATCGGCGGCGGCTCCGTGGCGACGGTGAACAGCAACCGGCGCCGCGCGATCTCGCCGCCGCCGATCTTCGCCGCGGGGCTCCGCGCGGCCTTGAGCGGCTTCTCGGACGCGCCGGACGCGCGCCGCGCGAAAGCCTCGCGCGCCTCGGAGACCGTGCCCGCCGCGGGGACGTCGTCGGCCTTGGGCGGCGACGCGGGCTTCTCCGACGGCGACGCGCCCCTGCTCGAGAAGACGCCCTTCTTGATGGAGGACACGGTGCCGGCGGAGACCGCGACCTCCTCGCGCGTCGGCGTGCCCGCGCGCGCGTCCGGCGGGCCCCGCGGCGCGTCGGCGTCGCGGCGGGGGAACTTCCTCGCGGGCGGCGGCTTCTCCGGCTCCGCCGGCTTTTGCGGCGCCTCCGGGGCGCCCTTCTCCTCGGAGAAGGCGCGCGCGCGGCGCTCGACCTGGACGGTCTCGAAGTCCTTCTCGAAGGCCACGGGCGCGCCGTGGCGCGCCGCGGGCACGATCGTGTCCTTGAAGTCGAACTTGTCGTCGATGTCCTCGAGGACGACACTCTTGCGGCGCATCTTCTCCACGGCGCTGGCCCGCTTCTGCACGGCCGGGTAGACGATGGCCTCCTCGGCGACGCGGCCCGCGGCGACGGCCGCGTGGATCGCGTCGACCCACCCGGCCCGGTCCTCCGCGTCCGCGGCGCGCAGGTGGCGCACGGACCGTTTGAGCGGGTAGTGGACGTGGAAGACGGAGCCGTTGACGTCCTTGGACGCGACGACGTCCGCGCCGTCGAGCACGAGGTGGCCCGTGTAGGGCCCGTCGAGCGACCGCCGGTACCGGAGCG